AAACCCCCCCCCCCCAAATGTCTGGTTTTACCATGTCTGAGTCCAGATTGCTCTATTGCTGTGGTGAAGCCCTACTACGTAGCCCTAAAATGGGGGCTTTCCTATTGAACTACCATAATCACCTTCAGTTACACTCACTGCAGGCTCATTCTAAATTATCCATCTGTAAAAGTACCTCTCCCAGAAAGGGTTGCCGAACTAGTAGCTTACCAGAGCTCTGACAGAATGACCTAGTCTAGGGTGTGTGCTTATCAGCCTACCCTCCCACCCCCCACCTTATAAAAAGCCTCAGCTATATGGAAGAAGCATGATCAAAGCTGATACACAGATTTGCACATGTTAAAACTTCACTGGGAGCAGCAGGAAACAGTTTGGCATTAGCTTACCTGGCCCAATCTTCCTTCTCTATGCTTTAGAAATGTCATAACCAGCTCCAGTCTCACTTTGTGGAATAAGTTCAACATTAAAACCGTGGTTGGAGGTAAGCTTAATTAGCAGTAAACCTTGACAAGGACAGACCGAATGAGTCCTTGGATGTTGTTGCTTTTTGGAATATTTAGTAAGAATTTAATGAGTGTGGAAAGAATCTTCACAAGAGCTTTTCATTCATTCCATGTGCTAAGTCCAGTGTTTAAATAGCTGAGTGAATTAGCACTCAGGAAAGGACTTTTGCTATACCAGGTTTGGTATATCCTCGCCCTGTTTCAATCTACTTTACTGCTTTATATACTTGGGACCCCTCTGACTCTGTTTCATTATTCCACATGTACTTGGGAGGCAGCTGGTGTCTCATCTAGTAATCAAGGAGCTTTAATTTAACAGTGGCTGTCATCACCCCACCCAACAGCACTACTTTAATCAGTGCAAATGTAAATCTAGTTATGGCACTTTCATAATAACGCTCAGGGCTTATTTTCTGCAGTCTTCTAGATGCTGGCAGAATTAGTAAGTGGATCAGAATTGTAGGCAAAATAGCAGGATGGTTATTCCTGATGCTATCTAAGAAATAATTCTCTTTAGTTTTCTTTCCTACCCAGACCATTAGCTCTGTTCTCTTCTGTGTGCTATGAAGATTAATAAGAGCCTGCTTTTGTTTGAGCCTGTACAGAACAATTAAAAATATTCTAGTGAACAAACCTGTTGTGGCAGGAGGCTGGATAACAGTGACCAAACAGAATTGGTAGGTGCCTAACAGCTGTGATCCTGGAATGAAACAAAAGCTATCGCTGTGCCACCTTAAAAGCTTTAAAACAAATTCTGTTCCTGGCATATTCTCAGCTAGCCCTTTTCTACCAGATAAACTTCAGGGGGTCTGATGATTAGTTAGGCCTGAAAATATTTTGATCTTATGAGGCAGGCCAGATGGCAAAGGTGACTACATAATGTCACAGAGAAGGATAGGACAGTGGCTTTTCAGATAAGCTGATGGGGCCTTCTACTCTGTGAGGGAAGCTCATAGCATTTTTAATGTTGTACCAATGCAAAAATGTTACTAATTGATCTGTTAATGCCACTTGGCTCCATTAACAGCAGTGAAGAACTGGTATAGCTTGACGGAACTGCTAATGTACCATTTATTTTATTCCTGCCTTGTGACCAAAGTGATGTGACTGGTCTTAACAGTTCCTAACAAACAGGTGTTCCTGTTGGCACCTCTACAAGCTCCTTTGTTCCCTGGTTCCATTTTTCTTCCTATTTTTATAGCTTTAAACTTTCACCCTAACATTTAACTTTTCTCACCTACACATGAACAGTTTTGTTTTCTGTGTCCTTACTGGCTGGGTGAACAGCTGACCCAGCTGCCTTTCTAGCATCCCCTTCCATGCTTGGAGATGATTGCCATGTTGCCCCTCAGTTGTGTGCTCCTCCACCTAATGGTATAGGACCTCCTCTCACCAATTTTTTAAATCTTCTCCGACTAGTCTTTTTTTACAGTGTTCAGCCTCAGTGAGCAGAGGACTCCCATTCAGGGTAACACTGGCACAGCAAAGAGCAACAATCGCATGCTGCTCGTATTAAACCCTGGGCATCTAATATGTTTGCCATTTGTGCAAGTACTGCACTGTTGACTCATGGTCGGTGCCTCAGCCCAGTGGAGCTCCAGGCTCTTTACTTGACAAGACCCTTGTTCTATGCTTATTGACCCAAAATATGCACTAATAAGTTCTGTTCAATAGTCCTTGTTGCAGATTTTTCGGTACCTTGCAACCCCCAAGTTCAGTGCCCAGGGGGAGTGGCAGAAAATAGCATGCTGAGCAGGGAGCTGCCAAAGCTAGCCAATGGGAAATGGAGGGTGTGGCTTAGGTCCTGACTCCTGTAAGGTGACTCAGGTATTTAAGGGAGACCAATGAGATGTCCATCTTCACAGCCATGAACCTTTCCTGAACTTAGGTACCTCAGACAGGTCAGGCTTTTAAAAAATGCAGAGGTGGTAGCTGTGGCACTGCCTGTAACTAAATAGTTTATTGGTTACACCATTCTTTTGGGGGGGTGGTGGTGGATGGGTACATTGGCCTAAGTGGACTTGGGCCCATTGGTACATGAGACCCGTAATGAGCAGAAGACTAATTCTACTGCGCATGAGCATGGCAGGCATAGCCTGTGCTGCTACACAGTAGATTTAGTTTAATGCACAGTAGCATCACAAAAAAACTTCATTTGCGCTAATGTACATTAGTGGCAATTACAGCGCATTAAGTTAGCACCTGTCATTACAGGTACTAAAAACTTAATGCACCATAATTACAGCACATTAATGAATGTGTAGATGCACCCACTGTATTCTGGGGCAGGGCGTTTCCAATCTCTTCTGTTGAAGTTGTTTCCTGTTGTGTGGACCAATTGAATATTCACTGGACCCAGATGAGAGTGAACTGACTTTCCAGTGCAGTGCAGAGTGCAGTGGTTAATGCTCTCAGCTGAGAGGGGGCAGGGTCGGGCAGAAGCCAGGGATCTAGTCCCTGCTCAGACAAATATTTGTGTAAGTATTTTATATGAAATGGAATAGGAAAGGTGGAGTGATTCTTCCCTACCCCTTTGCCACCCTCTCAGCATATCCTGTAGCCTAGTGGTTAGGTCACCCTTCTGGGATATAGGGGTTGGTTCAGACATTTCTTCATCTCTTATTTCCTCTTTTCATGGTAGGCAGCAGCCAAGCCAGTTCTCATGACATCTGTTGTTATTTTACTGTTTTGCCTTCTACTCAACCCCTAGATCTTAGACTTGCTTTTATTTCAGGTTGAAAGGCCTATGCTATCAGCTAATCCATTCCTCTGGCAGGGTGGGAGTATTTCTTATGTATATATCATATGCTTTGTCAAGTTTGGTTTTAAATGCCTGCACTGAGGGGGGTTTTCATCACATCCCTAGGAACACTATTCTGTAGCCTATTATAGTTTACTGCCTGGATAATTTTTCTGATCCAGTTTATCTTTGTTACTGCATGCCTACCCTCCCTCTCCCTCAGCTGGCTGACAGAGAGGCAGTGCTGTCCTGGGGACAGAGCACCTGCCTCTGACAGCAGATGTGCATACTATTTCTGGCTCTGACACTGACCTATTGTGTGAACTTGGGCAAGGCACTTCACCTCTGCTTCTTGTCTTGTTTCTCAGTTTAGGAGCTCTTGTGACCCATGTACAGTCCCTTATCACGTGTTTGTTTGGGGACCTTGATCTTAGCTAGGGGCTTCACATGTTACTGTAATGGAAATATACCACAATGATTATTTATCTGCTGTTTGTATAGGGCCCGGCACAAGGGGACTGGTGCCTTTAGGTGTTGCAGAGGGTGCAGACAAGTAGTGCATATTTTTTCTTTGTCCATGTTATTCAGACTCCCTTCTACTTAAAGTCTGCAATTTGATTTTAAACATATAGCTATTATTCATTAGAGCAGTATTGCAAAGACAGAATCAGTTTCCACATCTCAGGAAAACTTTTGAGGCTTCAGAATTTCTTTCCGTGCAGAAACAAGCTGAACATTTCACAAAACTTTCATAAACTGAAAATTTGAAAAACAAAACTCAGCTTGGATCCATTGAAAT